GGAAGCAACATGAGGAAACATGCAAAAAAATTTCTAAGTACAAGACTATGCAAAAGCAGTCAACAGAATATCGCAAGATTAAAACATCCAGAGGAAGAACTGTTGCAGTTACATATTGAAGAAAGATCAAAACATCCAAAAGAAAGAACTGTTACAGTTACATGTTGAAGAAACCACGTCGGCCAAAAGAAAGAGTTTTTACCCAGAAAGTACAAAGTGCAAAGTACAGAAAAAAGAAGGAAAAAAGTACAAAAAACATTTTCAAGATTCTTCAGTATCAGCCACTGTGGGAACGGGGACCTCGGACGATTCAGGCGGAATCTCCTCGGCCACTTTCTCTGCTTGTATCTCGGCATCTATCTCTGCCAATGTTGTGTCAAGACTTCTTTCAGTCAGAAGGAGGTCAGATGATCGATAGCTGCCCAGTGGCAGTCTCCTTGGGTGCCCCCTCAACCTCATCACCCTCCTCATCCAAAGTTAAGTCCATAACCTGCTCACCAGGAGGAGGGGACTTGGCTTCGGCAGCATCCTTGGGTTTTCTCACCAAGGCCTCACCATCATCTTTTTCTTCATCTTCATCCACGGCCTCGGCCTCAGACTTTGATTCACCTTCAGGAGGAGGTGGAGGAAATGGTAACGGAATAACGTCGGCCTGACGCAATGGTGAGTCGGCAGGAAGGTCAAGCTTCTTTATCAAGGACATCCAACCAAGGGAAAATCCCCTGTTGCATGCCTGCCTGACTTGAAGCTTGTAGTCTTCTGCGACGTCGGCCATACCTTGAGCATATGCCTTTTCATCGGCCTCCTTGATTTCGGCCTCTTTGGTGGCCAAGGCTTGCTGTAGTTCTTTCTCCGCTTGGGCCTTCTGAACCTCGGCCTCTCTTTTCTCGGCCTCAGCAACCTTTCTAACGGCCTCAGCAGCTTCGGCCTTTTCAAGAGCTAAAGTTTGAACCTTAGTTGCAGCCTCGGCTTGATCCTCCAATTTTTTCATTTTTGCTTCAAGAGACCTGATCTCTCTCTTCATAGAAGATGCTTCCCTCTTCATATCAACCAACCTTTGACGATTTTCAAAGGCTTGCATGGAAAATGAGTGGGCATGCTGAATGGCCTGCAAAAAGAACAGAAATGTGAGACAGTACTCTCAGTGAAGAACGGAAGGAAGAATCACAAGTACAGACAGAAATACTTACTTGAGCAGAGTGTTGGAGCATCAGAGCGTAATTTTCATACTCACTGAACTTGGCATTTCGCTCCAAGTCATTTGGTAGAAGACGAGCGGTGCTAAGGGCGACAGCAACGTTGATATCATCAGCACTTTCACTAGCCATGATAGGCCTATCCTCCAGGGATAGATCAGGGGCCCAGGGGACGTCGGGCTTCTTCGAAGCCGAGGTCGTCGCAGACGATGACCTTGGCCTCTTTGTTTGTGTAGACCCTGAGGGTTGGCCCTCAGCAGACCTTTTGGTGGAAGTAGAGGCTGATTTTTTGCTTTCAGCTAGCTTCGAAATCGGCAGAGCATCCTCAGCCTCGGCATCTGTAGCCTTGGCCTTAGGCTGAACCTTTTTAACTCTCTTTGGTTTGGGTGGAAGCATTGATTGCGTTGGTGCGGCTTCGGCGTCAGTTGGAAGATCGACGAGAAGGTACCCTAGGGAAGATGCTTAACACTTGTTGAAATTTGTAGCAATTTATAAGTTTATGTTAAGCCGACATATGACCACCCGCTGAGGTATACAGAAAGTTACAGATTAAAATAAAGGCTAAGTATATTGTTCATTACTTGTTGAAATTTGTAGCAATTTACAAGTAGGTTAGACTAAGATTACCATTTAGTACTTGTTAAAGAATTGAGAAGAAGCTTGCAAAGTTTACATTCCGAAATATATGTTCTATACTTGTTGAAATTTATGAAAAGTTTGCAGGTTAGTATCTTGCCGAAATAAAAGTTTTATGGTTATACCCGAGGTATGAAACCCCGAGGAGATTGCACATAGGAAGCAACATGAAGAAACATGCAAAAAATTTTCTAAGTACAAGACTATGCAAAAGCAGTCAACAGAATCTCGCAAGATTAAAACATCCAGAGGAAGAACTGTTGCAATTACATATTGAAGAAACCACGTCGGCCAAACGAAAGAGTTTTGCATTATCCAGAAAGTAAAAAAGTACAAAGCACAAAAAACAGAAAAAAGAAGGAAAAAAGTACAAAGGACAATTTTTTCAAGATTCTTCAGTATTAGCCACTGCAGGGACTGGGACCTCGGACGACTCTAGTGGTACCTCGTCGGCCACTTTTTCTGCTTGTATCTCGACATCGATCTCTGCGATCGTTGACTCAACACTTCTTTCTACCAAGAGAAGATTGGACGATAGCTGCCCAGTGGCAGACTCCTTGGGTGCCCCCTCAACCTCATCACCCTCCTCATCCAAAGTTAAGTCCATAACCTGCTCAACAGGAGGAGGGGACTTGGCTTCGGCAGCATCCTTGGGTTTTCTCACCAAGGCCTCACCATCATCTTTTTCTTCATCTTCATCCACAGCATCGGCCTCAGACTCTGATTCACCTTCAGGAGGAGGTGGAGGAAATGGTAAAGGAATAGCGTCGGCCTGGCGCAATGGCGAGTTAGCAGGAAGATCAAGCTTCTTTATCAAGGACATCCAACCAAGGGAAAATCCCCTGTTGCATGCCTGCCTGACTTGAAGCTTGTAGTCTTCTGCGACGTCGGCCATGCCTTGAGCATAGGCCTTTTCATTGGCCTCTTTGACTTCGGCCTCTTTGGTGGCCAGAGCCTGCTGGAGTTCTTTCTCCGCTTGAGCCTTTCTAGCCTCAGCCTCTCTTTTCTCGGCTTCAGCTACTTTTTTAACGGCTTCAGCAGCCTCGGCCTTCTCAAGAGCTAAAGTTTGGACCTTCGTTGCAGCCTCGGCCTGATCCTCCAGTTTTTTCATTTTTGCTTCAAGGGCCCTTATCTCTCTCTTCATTGAAGATGCTTCCCTCTTCATATCAACCAATCTTTGACGATTTTCAAAGGATTGCATTGAAAATGAATGGGCGTGTTGGATAGCCTGAATGAAAACAGAAGTATCAGAAAATTTTCTCAGAAAGAAACAGAAGGAAAAAACACAAATACAAACAGAAATACTTACTTGAGCGGAGTGTTGGAGCATAAGAGCGTAATTTTCATACTCACTAAGCTTGCCATTTCGCTCCAGGTCATTTGGTAGAAGAAGCGCAGTGCTAAGGGCAACAGCAACATTAATGTCGTCAGCACTTTCACTAGCCATAATGGGCCTATCCTCCAGGGATAGATCAGGGGCCCAGGGGACGTCGGGCTTCTTTGACGCCGAGGTCGTCGCAGACGATGACCTTGGCCTCTTTGTTTGAGTAGACCCTGAGGGTTGACCCTCAGCTGACCTCTTGGTGGAAACAGAGGTTGATTTTTTGCTTTCTGCCAGCTTTGAAATAGGCACAGCATCCTCAGCTTCGGCATCTGTAGCCTTGGCCTTAGGCTGAGCCTTTTTAACTCTCTTTGGTTTGGGTGGGAGCATTGATTGCATTGGCACGGCCTCCGATGTTATTCCTTAATTCACTTGTTGAAATTTGTAACAATTTACAAGTTGAAGTTAAGCCGAGATTATTCCTTAATTTACTTGTTGAAATTTGTAGCAATTTACAAGTCGAAGTTAAGCCGAGATTATTCCTTAATTCACTTGTTGAAATTTGTAACAATTTACAATTGATGGAAGATCGGCTGGGTCAGATGTGGATTCTTGATCTGTTCGGGGTGTAGAAGCAGTTAAGGTTGTGGCTGTGGGTGGAGAAAGACTCTTCTTCCTTTTTCTTGGGACGTCGGGTAAGGTGGATTTGTATGTAGGGATGAAGTTTAGTAATACTGGGGCTTTTCGTTTATGGATTGGAAGGCCAAGAAGTGTTTTTAGATCTGTTCCTGGGAAGAAGGATTGGCGAAAATTTTTCGGTGGCTAGTGAAGATCTGCAGGGAAAAAAAAAACAGACGTCAGAAACAAAAGAGCATTAAGGACTTAATTAAAAATAACTAAAGTATTGACTCAGGGCTCTTACTCTTGCCCTCTGTAATTGTTCGAGGAAGAGGGTAGAGGTGGACATCTTCATCTGGGCCAAATTCCCAATTTCCAGAAGCAATGAGAAAATCATCTCCAGCCCCCTTGTTGGAGTCTGGGAGGTCGGCTATAATTTTGTACTGAGTGGATCTCGGCTTAAGGTAATAGACAAAACCCCTATCCTTCAGATCGAGAGGGCACATGGTATAACAATATTGAAGGTCGGCTAGGGTGATTCTAAGGTTTTCTTGCCTAGCTAAGGCAATAATACCGTTAATTACCCTATAGGAATTGATAGTAAGTTGCATAGGGTTCAGCTTATAGAAATGGAGAACTTGACGAAAAAGAGGATCAAGTGGAAGCCGAAGTCCACATTCGGTAAAAGCAACTATTGGAAAAGGCATTGTATGGTTATAGATAGAAAGTGCTTTTTGCGACCGCTACAAGCCGTCGCAAATAATAAAAAAACAGTCGCAAAAGACTTTTTGCGACGGCCCATGCGACGGCAAATGAGGGTCGCGAATGTGGGGGTGGCAAATACTTTTTGCGACCGCAAAATAACGGTCGCAAACTATTTGCGACTGCCTAACCTACTTTTTACAACAGCTATTTTGCCGTCGCAACAAAAAAAATTCAAAAACAATTTTATCGACTTCTTTTTTACCGTCGCAAATAATTATTTTTATAATAAAATCATATATACGTTTATTACAACAAAAAAATCAATTGCAAACACCTAACAATTTTTTTTAATAAAAAATAACAAAATTAACAAATTAATTTAAACTCATAATAGAAATACATTCACATATAAGTGTGCAAACAAAATATAAACTTTCATACATGCAAAAGAAATATCCATCAACCATCCTTAAAATATATTGTGCTAAAAGATTCAAGTCCTCAAAAAAAAAAAAGAAGAATCCAAAAAAAAAAAAAAAAGAAAAAGAAAAAAAAAAGAAGAAAAGAAAAGAAAAGAAAGAGCAACATAATCTCAGTTTGGCTCCCAAACATCAGCCGCTCGATTATATCAACTATTCCCTCAACAAAACCTGCAAAAACATATACACGTGACTTGAAAATTTAATGCAGTTTAACTTGAAATAATAAAAATAAAACTATTTGAAAAGAAATTGTCAAGAAAAAAAAAAGGTTCATTCTCTAAATTCTTTTGCTTGGAGTAAAGTACAAAAATATAGATGCCAATTCGTAATTTGCCCAAATAAATAGACAAGAAAATGGTCACCCAATCCAATCAGATTAAGCCTTTGATGGCAGTTCATTATTGACACTAATGACTGACGTGTTAGTTCTAATTTTCAGCATGTGGGAGCCTTTGCTTACAATAATTATATGAAAGCCCACATCATCCAACATAACTATAATGACCAACACTAACATGCTTCTTTCTAACTCACTTCATTTGAAGCGAATGGTGACAATTTCAACCATGTGTGTGTGTTAGAGAGAATTCAATTCAATCGTTCCAACCAAAATAAAATGCTTTTTGGGTCCTCTGCAATAAGTCACTCCTTTTGTCTTTCTTTCAACCAAAATAAAATGCTTTTTGGGTCCTCTGCAATAAGCTTTACGTAGAACAAAGTCCCAATAAAAAATTAGGTTAATTTTGGCATCTTCTAAAATAATTTAAAATGTCAAAAAATTATTATTTTATTTAAGTTACATCATCTTATTTAAGTCGCATTATCTCTCTATCACATCACTTCAATTCCAATTCATATTTTATAAAAAGTCAAAAAATACACTTATTTAGAACATCCCAAACAATTATTAATTGATGGAAAAATTTATTATTTTTTAATTTAATTTTTATAAAACTTATTATTAATTTATAAATATTTTTTTAAGCAACTACTGACATGACATGTAATTTTTCCATTTCTACCATTTAATTAAACTAAGCTTTCAAGATCCAAATATATATGGAACGGCCCATCAATTTGACTAAATTCATAAATACTTGGTGGATAGTTTTTTTTTAATTTTATTTATTCTTCTGGGAAAAAGAATTGATCAACAGCAAAGGACTTATGGTATTTCCATTAAACCAAGGGAAGATTACCAGCAAGCTCTAAGGACCCCACTCCATATATAAACAAACATTCATTAAAAGCAGAGAAATAGGTTCGTATAATGTGTCAATAATTTCCTTTTGAAGAGCAGAGTGACATACCTATTCATTTTCTTTTGAAGCTTGTTGCCCACTAGATGCATTTGACACCTACAATATGTTAGTATAATGTGTTAATAATTTCCATATGTACATATACAAATTGATGAAACGTAAAATTCGTCAATTTGTAAGTATTGCACCTCTCTCAAGCTCGTACTCCCAGATGCATATGCAAATTCGTAAAATTCGTCAATTTAACATAATTCTGCAGTAGTAACCAAACCATGTATTCATTCACGAGTGCTAGCTCTATCTTCTCCAAGATGCATATGCAAATTCTACAAAGATGCTTTTAAGATCTCTCTCTCTCTCTCTCTCAACTGCTTCAGTAAGATTTTATACCTGTGACATTGCTGCAGTTAATCTATGAGAAGCTACCAGCTGACATTTCAAGCCGCAATGTGTTATTGCTCGACCCAGTTTTGGCTTCAAGTAAAATAAATTCCAAACATACTGTAATTCTTCCAAATATGTTTTCATAATACATATCCAGTGTCTAAAAATTCTTCATTATTAGGAAATTCTGCAATCAAAGCTACTTCTTTGCTGCTGAGCAAGGGTGTAGCAGAATCCAACATAATCTTCCTTAATCTCATAGCAGTGAGTGATTTTGATGTTTAATTGTTTTCTCTCCAGACAATTTTAAGTTCTACAGAATTATTAATAGTTTATATTTCATTTTTGAAAATTTTGAAATTACGACGCAGGCTCCTGAAGGAAGACATGCTGTTTGTAAGAAATTCCCAAAGCTAAAAATTGTGACATGGGAGATTGACATGTCACTGAACAAGGATTCACATGTGATCCCAGGCATGGAGGAGTTTGAAGATCGCTACTTTAGTACAGATAACAATGTTAATCAAGCCCTTGACAAAACACCCTAGCAAGTGTTTTGTCATGTTTTGTTACGTGACAAAATAACACCTATTCCTAACAGTAAGAAAACAAGTTGAGGCAGGCCCAAAGCAAATTGGCTTGTACTGGCCACCAGAGCTGTATGTCCCAACTCAACTAGTTTGATATTCCATTTGGTTGCTAATAGACCGCGCAACACTGCAGGAAAATAAATACATTAAAATGTTTCCAACAGATTGAGTACACAGCAACTACGAAACAGCAAAGTCGAAAAAAATAAAAAGAGAGAATGATTTTGAGCAGCCACTGTTCAGAAGGATGATAACCAAGCGATACACATCTGCTCCATCATATGGATTTCACCAATAAGCAGAGCATTAACAATTGAAAGTAAAATCATATCATATATACAGATAAACAATGGCCTCCAAGTGCCACAGAACAATACATCAATAGTTTAGCATATTTATTTCTTGAAACCATTCTTGTTGCAGGTTTCCAAGTAAAACATTCATAGATGAACAATGGCCTCCAAGTGCCACAGAACAATGCAAATGAAAAGATCAAAAACACTAATATATTCAATCATGAGCATCTTATCAAACAGAAAAAAAAAAAAAGATTGACTCATTGAATATAACAGCTATATAAACAATAAAGGATTGGATTGAATAGCTATATAATCTATTCGATTTTGTTATTTATTGAACACTATAAGGTCTGAATCTATTTTCAAGCAAATTACATAAGAGATGACAGAAATTTGGATATAGAAAATACACATTCATCATTTTCGCAGCACAGAACTGAAATCAAATACACAATTAATGACAGAAAATACACAATTATTTATTGAACGCTATAAGGTCCGAATCTATAAAAGCTTCGTAAAAAATACACAATTATTTATATCTCCTTGATCTAACTTTCAAATCCAGATTAGCTGATGTTACACATGCTCCAATCTAACATGACAAAAAATAATAATAATAATTCGAATTCAGAACTGAAATCAAGCAAGTTCAGAGGAAGTTCATCATTTTCGCAGCACAGAACATACACAATTAAGAATTGAATGGTTCAGTTTGTACCTGTAGCAGATGAGGAAGGATTGATTCAAACCAAAGCTTCGTCGAAAGGTGATCTACGGTTGCGACTACAGTGAGTTCAGATGATAAGAAACAAGTGATCGAAGTAGAGAGACAAAGAAGTTGAAATACGCATGAATGATTCGAAGAGACTCACTGAGACGAGAGAGAGAGAGAGGTGATCCAATTTTTGCAGAATCGTCACACATTTGAGAAGCCAGTGAAAATCTACAACTAGGGTGAAGGTATTGGCATTGCATTTGCTGATCTTGTTAATCACCGAGGCCATTTGTTGCTGTACAAATGAAGAGAGTGTAGTGTGGAGAAGAAAACACATTTTGGAAATGTGCCAAAATCAAGTTTATAGGAATGTAATTCTTCTGAGTGGGTGGGGATGAGTTTTTGCAAATGCACCGTGTATCTTGTATCGAACAACCCCCTTCAACAAAGTTCCCTATGTGGGTAATTATTATTGGTCAGCGGCCTTTCCATCTTCAGTTGTATTCCGGCAGTACATAAACGAGATTTTGGACTAGTGTTTGTATGTATACAGGGTATAGTTGGGCGTTTTGTCATTTTCCTCCTCCATATGTTCAGGAAATGGGGTTTGTTTGTTTGTTAATGTTGTTTTACCCTCTTTCTGGGCATCCTTTTGGGTATTTTTGTAAGTTTGAATTTGTCACACTGCATTCTAAACTGTTGTTAGTAGGGGCCGCTGATTCTGTTTCTTATATATTTATATAGGCAATGAAGAGTGTTATCATAGTTTTGTTTGCAATACAGTATGTTCTTCTGCATGATTTTTTTTTTCCTTCAATTTTTTTGACTAGTTTTTACCAAGGACAGAAGGGAAAGAAGCATTAAGGAGAGAAAGGGGAAAAAAGAATTTAAAGGACTAAAGTGAGAAAATGGCTAAATATAAAGCAGAGAAAGCGTAATTTATCTACTGTTATTTGTGGTTCAGACCAAAAATTATCTCAAAGCAATGGTGTTTTGTGATTTGTCTACTAGTAATTATATTTTTTAATCATGTAAGCATAGAGTTCCTGTTATTTGGTGGTTAGTACAAATCACCATTAAAAATTCCGAGAAGAGATTACATAGGTCTTATTAGTGGAGTTTATAGGGTTGGTTCATTGTTTTTATTTGTTTAATTTAGTCGGAGTGTTTGGTTTAGAAGGCAAAAATAATATAAGAGAAATGTTTCGTAGCTCGAAACATTTTGCTCCGAATGGCTCGAGGGAGAAGACACAGAGAGAAGCAGAGGGAGAGGGAGAAAAAGAGAGAAGCAGAGGGGAAGAGAGAGAGAGAGAAGACGATCGTCGCCCCTCCCAGCCGCCGATCGTCGCCCAGCCCAGCCCCGCCGCAGCCTCCGACTGCCGTCGCCCCGCCTCCGCCTCCTCCTCCTCCTCCTTCCTTCTTCCTCCTCCTCCTTTCTTCCTTCTTCTTTCTGATCTTCATTCTTCTTCTCCAAAAACAAAAGATATAGAGAAGATGAAGAAGATGGAGTTGAAAATAAAAAAAAATAAAAAAAAACGACGTCATTTTAATCCCTCAAACAACAGTCTAACCACAACTTTTGAGTTACGAATCTAAACCAATAACAGTGCTCATGTATCTTTTTATCCTTTAAACCGACGTGACAAGGTACAATAATTTGATTTGCGTGCAAAAAGAAAAAGAAAAAAAAAAGGTACAATAATTTGATAGGAAGTTGAGATGAGAGTCCATAAATAAAGAGAGGCCAAGAAAATTAAGAGACACAAAATGAAAAATATTCCCAAAACTCTAGATAAAGCTCGATTCCCCACCACCACCCAAACACATTAATCACTATCGGGACATATATATCCACATCCTCATACACGTCATCCCTTACCACACAACACAACCCTCTCTCGAAAAATCGTTAGGGGTAATTTGAAATTTTGCTAAAAAGTCTATTTTTTTATACAAAAAAAACAACTTTTTTAGCTAAAAAAAATTATTAAAAAGTTTAAAAAATTAAAAAATTAATTTTTTTCCAATTTTTTAAAACATCACTAAGTTTAATTTTGGAATGTTACATATGCATATGCTTATATCTACTTCAATTATAATTTATCATATTCATTTATATTCGTTAATCACTAAACATAAATTTATAAAATTTATTTTTTTTATCAATCACAATATCATTAAAACACCACACCACACCACAATTCTCAAAACCAACCAATAACTTCTCTCTCTACGTCAAAAAATCGATTATGACAGAGATATCAGAGCAGAAACAATGAAACCCATGAACAAGCCTCTCTGTTTCCTCTTCTTCATCATCAATCTCCTCCTATCCTATACTTGGGCAGCAGACCATGAATCCCTAAGCACCCGCACCAGCATAGTATTCACCACATATATCTTCATATAGATAATGATAGAGAGTTTTAAAAATAAAATTTTAAATTAAACTCTATTTATGTGATAATAAAAAAATTTTTTAAACATCACATCAATAACAGAGCTTCTTTAAAACTCTCAGCCTCCGTTTGGGAAGTGGGTTGGCTTTTTGACTTTTTTGACTATTTTAGCCTGGGCTAAAAAGTTTGGTTTGGGAAGGGCTTTTTGACTTTTTGACTTTTTTGACTTTTTTTGTGAGAGATGAATGTAATGATTATGGGTTGGATGTGATATTTTATTTTTTGTGGCTAAAATAGCCTATTTTGTCTTTTGTGGCTAAAATAGCCAAAAAAAATCCCGTTTAACTCTTGCCAAACGGAGCCTCAAACATTTTTTTATATCCACATCCTCATACACGTCATCCCTTACAACGCAACACAACCCAACCCTCTCTCAAAAAATTATTAGTTTAATTTTGGAACGTCACGTACTTATATCTATATCAATTATAATTTACTATATATTTTTTTATATTCATTAATTATTTAACATAAATTTATAAATTTTATTTTTTTTAACGATCATAATATCTTTAAGCAAATGGTTTTAAATGATATAAATACATATATTTTTTAATTTTTTATAAAAAATAAAAATAAAAAAATAAAAAAATAATGCAATTAAAAAAAATAAAAAAAAATTAATTATTTAAGAGAGGCTAAACCACCACAAAAACAACCCTCCCGATTCCCAAAACCAACCAATAATTTCTCCCCTCTCTCTCTCTCTCTCAGCCTCAAAAATGGATTCAACACACATTAGTAGATGACTGAGAGAGATATCAGAGCAGAAACAATGAAATCCATGAACAAGCCTCTCTGTTTCTTCTTCTTCATCATCATCAATCTCCTCCTATCCTATAGTTGGGCAGCAGACCATGAATCCCTAAGCACTCGCACCAGCATAGTATTCGCTACATTCGGTCGATCAAGCTATGCCTTCGACATCTACACTCTCCCAATACAACAACCCAACTCTACTCAATTCAACCCCCCCATCGAATTCCAGATCACCGATGGTCACTCCGTCAACTACAACGGTCACTTTCCCTCTCCATCATCGACCTCCACTCTCCTCTCTCTCACCTCAACAACCACCCCATCATCACCACCTCCCCTCCTCCTCATCTACGTCACCGAACGCAACGGATCATCGTCCCTATTCCTCGACGCACTCTATTACGACGGTCCCGATATCACCAGAAAAAGATCTACCCTCCAAATCCCAACTAGGGTTCAAGTACCTCTTCTGATCACCAATCAACCATCCAACGGCCTGATTTCCATGAAAGATAAACCCAGTTTGGTGGGTGATTACTTAATTTACGTTTCGACTCACGAGGACTCGGGCGTGCCGAGGACGAGTTGGGCTGCTGTCTACTCGACTCAGCTCAAAACCGGGTTGACTCGGAGACTGACGCCTTATGGGGTGGCTGATTTTAGCCCCGCCGTGTCGCCGTCGGGGGTTTGGACGGCGGTGGCGTCTTCCGGAGAGAGAGGATGGAGGGGTGAGGTGGAAGAGCTTGACACTGATGTTTATGTGTTCAGGACTGAAGACGGATCGGACCGAGTCAAGGTGGTGGATCACGGTGGGTGGCCGAGTTGGGCTGACGATTCGACTCTGTACTTTCACCGGAGGAGTGAGGATGGGTGGTGGAGTGTTTACAGAGCGAGTCTTCCTAAAGATATGGTGCAAATTAGTGTTGACTCGGTTGTGACTCAACGAGTCACCCCACCGGGTCTTCACGCCTTCACTCCTGCGGCTTCGGTGGCTAACAAGAATTTCATTGCTGTGGCAACGAGACGACCCGATTCAGAGTTTCGCCACATAGAACTCTTCGACGTCGTTTCTAAAGAGTTCACTGAGGTTACCCGGCCCGTTTCGCCAAATTATCACCATTTAAACCCGTTTATCTCACCCGATTCGACACTAGTCGGATACCATAGATGTAGAGGGAGCGACAATGGAAGAAAAGGTAACAACTTGTTACTCGAAAACATTCAAAGCCCATTACCCGAAATCTCTCTATTTCGGATTGATGGGTCATTTCCTTCTTTCTCACCCACGGGTGACCGTATCGCTTACGTGAAGTTCCCGGGACTCTACGTGGTGAAACGGGATGGGTCGGGCCTGCGTCAGGTATTTACCGGAACTGCCTTTGCGACTGCTTGGGATCCGACAAGGAAGGGAGTGGTGTACACAAGTGTGGGTCCCACATTTGAGTCAGAGAGCACGAAAGTTGATGTAATCTCTATTAATGTTGATGATGACGAAGAATCAAGTTACAAAAAACTGACCACGGGTGGTGAAAACAATGCATTTCCATCTCCTTCACCCGATGGGAAGTGGCTTGTGTTTCGATCGGGTAGGTCGGGTCACAAGAACTTATATATAATGGATGCGCTTGATGGAGAGAAGGGTGGGCTCTACAGGCTTACAGAGGGCCTATGGACGGACACGATGTGCAATTGGTCCCCTGATGGTGATTGGATCGTTTTTGCATCGGATCGGGAAAAGCCCGGTTCAGGGAGTTTTGAATTATACATGGTTCACCCAAATGGGACTGGGCTGAAGAAGTTGGTCCATAGCGGGTCTAGTGGGCGGGCCAACCACCCGTGGTTCAGCCCGGATGGAAAAACTATTGTGTTTACCACAGACTATGCTGGGGTGTCGGCTGAACCAATCTCGAACCCACATCAGTATCAACCCTACGGCAGTATCTTCACCATCAGCACGGACGGTTCTGGGATAAGGAGATTGACTCATAACTCATTTGAGGATGGAACCCCAGCTTGGGGACCCAAATTCATGAAGCCCGTTGATGTAGAGCACCGAACTGATGGACCACAATGCTCCTTTGATGATTGTCACTGGCTAAGTAAATTTCCGAACCATAGTGTAGAGTTTGCACCCTATGTCTCAATGAAGGTCCAATGTGGTCAGTGAATTGGGATTTGGCACAAGAGGCTTCTGTTCTATTTTATTTGTTTTCGTGTAGTACCACTACACATCTTCAGAAGTTGGGCAAGTTGGCCGCCTTGTTGTACTGTAATGTAGTTAGCTATATGTTGTAAATAGGGAGGGAGAGAGAGAGAGTATTGTCTGTAAATATTCATATATATAAATAAATGGAGCCAGAGAGAGTATTCTGTAAATATTCATATAAATAAATAAATGGAGCCAATGTTTATAGTCACTCTCAAAATGGCCTTTTTTTTATTATTAATATTTTTTTTTTAGAACATCTCCAACGGTGAATCAAACCTGATATAAAATCACTTTTTGGAACTCCAGTGGTTTCAGCAAATTGGTATCAAAATGAAAATTCACCAAAAAATTCATCGAAGTGAGAACAAAGGACAAATTTCACCACTTTTTGGAACTCCAATGGTTTCAGCAAATTGGTATCAAAATGAAAATTCACCAAAAAATTCATCAAAGTGAGAACAAATGACAAATTTCACTACTTTACTGTTCGTGACCGTTGAAAAAGACCAACCGGTCAACCGGTTCCCTTTCAAATAGATAAGTTTAAACCGGTCAAAAGGTTCAAGCAAGTAAAAAAAAATAAAAATTTTTGCTTTACCGGTCAACCCTCTCATTTTGATGAACATTTGGAGGAAAAAATATCAAATTGAAAAAATTAGTTTTTTTTAACTCAAATTTAGTGAAAATTTTGATTCACCGTTGAAGATGGTCTTAGGGTCAATTGCTATATGAATTCAAATATTATTATTAAATACGCTCATTTAATGAACAACTTTAATGTAATTCTATTTTATTCTTAAAAAAAAAATAAAAAAATCAATCACATACACTAATATTAAATTTATAATAATCACTACAGCCCCATCCAGTAGCATATTTATCAGTGACTCGGGTACAAAAAAATTTCAGTGAATCATTTGCTTGAAACGTAGAGTAACAGCTTCAAACATCACAAGAGCTTTAAACTGAAGAACTTTAACCTTGAAAAGAAACTACAATGTGCATGTTGAGCATTGGGGTAAATTAAAAAAATTCTAATCGACAAAACCAGATGTACAAGGCTATGACCACAGTAAATTTATGACCAAGAGAATTAAAATGAGATGCCACCTGACTCTCCAAAAGTAGGCACAAAGCTCCACATTAGATATAAGATGCGGGCAAAAAATGAATTCTTACATCCCAAGAAAACAAGCTGTCAAAGGCAAATTACTTCCAACTCTATCCAACAGAACATTTGAACAAAACCGGATGTCTAGTCGCTGAGGTCAATAAAGAACTCCTGAGGTATTGAGGAAGGGCAGTTCTTCTTTGCAACAAATTTGTACTGATGCAAAGAAGTGTGTCAGTATCAATGGGAGATTTCAATATCTACAATTTCATATATTTCAATATTACTTAAATCTCTCTTCAATTGTGGAATGCCACCATACTTCCACTACAACCACCGACACTCTTTGTTAGCATATTGGATTTGTGAAGGGAAAGGAAAAAGAAATTACTTAGACACAAGTACCAAACAAAAACTGAATTTTAAAAAAAAATACCTATCCATTTTCTTAACACAACTACTAAAAAAAAAGGAGAAGATTTAGCATCTTTTTTCTTTTCCCTTCCCTCCACAAATTCAAGATCCAAACATAGCATCAATGTTTGTCATATCAGAAAAAAGTCATGTATTTGTCCAATCCTTTCCAATTTATACCCAATACAACACTTTAAACGATAATGGCCTCCGAAATCTTCCTTTTATAGGGAAAAAAAATATTAACAACAAATAAATATAAATGACAATGGAGCATGCATATAGTGTATTTCTCACACACACAGATTTTGCTCACCTTATGTTGACTGTATTTTTCCCTTATTCCAGGCAAACTAGAACTATGGATGTTGCAGAAGAGACGATGTATCACCTTGACACAGTCACGCAAGTCAGAGGGCTTGTAAAGTGTGCAATGCCTCAGGGTCAAAGTCTGCACCAAACAAACATGGGACTAAACTATGTTGCATGGATATATCAGAGCATATATAATAACAAAATAGCTTAGAAATAAGCAATAGCCTTACGATATTTTTTCACACTTACCCATGGTCTTTTTGACGGGTTAAGTATAAATTTGGCCAAAAAAATTGCAGGATGGAGCATAGCAGAGCATGCCATACTCCAGCAGCGATAACTCTGTAAGGTAGTTGGCCAGGTAATCCAACTGCATCGATGGAACCTTTTAGCAGTAGGGATAGAAACCACAAATCAGTAAAGGGTTTAGCAACCACCATTGTTACCACAAAATCAACACGCAAATCAAACTAATACAATATGGAATGGCATCAACAATTGAGACCATTAAACATATTGCTAGTATTAGTACATCATGCGACAGTTCAGGGTTCCATCGTTACCAGGTGATGGAAAACTTTAATCAACTCAAGAAGCAATGGAACCAAGAAACTTAACTAGTCCGAGATAAATACCTCATTAATTCCTTGAGCAGCACGAACAAACCACCTAAGAATTGCATGAATAGTCAAGTCAATGAATAGAGAAACACACTAAAATGCACTACTTTCAATAAAGATCAGACAGGTGGCCCTTACGTTAAAAAACATCCAGCGGTTGGGGCTGACATTTCAAACTTCAAGTAATTCAGCACGGAAGATTCCATTTGCAAAACCTGCAGCAATTAAATTGCGTAATGCAGGTTAACAACAGAAGCACTTTAAAGAAGTCTAGAATTGCAAAATCCATATGAAGATTAGAACCAAACCTCTTTCTTGAAGTATGTGTTGTCAGCGACGTAACAAAACTCTTCCACCTGAGGTGCACAGATCTCCTCGTATTTACTGGCAGCATTATCATATCACAAGTTATAATCAGTTATCATTCTCTCCTCACTACACACACACAGAGGAAGAGACACAGAAGATGGAGAAGAACAACCGAAAACAAGAAACTAAAATGTTAAATCTTACGCAGCAATCATCATGCAGGCAACACCAAGCAACTGTAGTCGTTGCCTCTGAATTACATTGCCAGAAAGATAACGATCTATGTAATTAACAGTCAAAAACAAAGTTTCAGGTACAAGACTGTACTCTTCAGCAACCCACAATAAGATGCCATGACAACTGGTTACTAAATGGCTTATCTGAAACAACAACAAAATGAAGTACCGATTATAAGGTTAAAACAACTGTCCCCTTCACAATGACTAAACTTTCACAACCAGATAACACCAAGGGTGGTATTTATGATGCCATAAAAGAATGCCACTTTTTTATGGAATGAACTGGTTCAATAATGCACTTTCTGTTTTTTGATGAACTACAGAAATTCAACTTGGTAATGTCACCAATAGCTTGGCTTACCTCTACAAGCCAATCAATCAGTATAGCACGCATGCTGGCATTAATGTCTCCCTGAATTCTCTCCACAAGGTCTGTGCGAGGCATTTTCTTTCTCTAAAAAACAAGAAAACCAAAGAAATGAATTGAAACCAACTTTTAAAACTACAAATTCATATATTTCCCTGGTACTACAGGCAAATTTAAACTGAAACTTCCAGAAACAAAATGTTATATATAGGAATAATTGAGATCAGCTATTTCTATGCAAAACTAAAAAAACTAAAAAAATTCCCATCCAACAAATACCAAAGCAGACAATGCATGCAAATAAAATCTTTGTTGATTAATCTCTAGGTGATGAACTCCATAAACTTTCATATTTCAAAACACAATCAACCTATTGGCATGAGCGATTTTTACTCTCTAGTGTTTGTTCAACAGAATATTATAATGCAATTTTACAAACTTCGCAAATCTCAAGAGTTTCACAGTTTGATAGTATTATAATATATATTTTATGGTGGGAAAAGTAAATGGTTGTAACTGTTAGGGCTGCACCAAAATCACCTCCTGGGAAAAGACAAAGAAACTGCCAGATTATAAACTAAACCGGGATCGCTATAACCTCCCCCCCTTAAAGAATTTCGTCCCCGAAATTAAACACAAGTCTTTCAAAAATAGGTTTTCCTCCATTCTCATTAATATTACCACATAAAATTAAACAACCCGACCCATTACCGGTCAATTCCATCTTTTTTCAAGAGGCATTTCACAACCCATATTACAAGTGCATTATCAACATGCAATTTCCAACCATTTTCAACATACATGGTTCACAGTTCATATCATAATCAATATACATGATAGAACTCCAATTTTATAATAAAGCCAACATATGCAATATCATAATCAACTCAAATATCAGGGTAAGTTCTACAACATACTTCTATTAAACCAAAATATTACCAATGTTTTACAACTTAAGACATATATAAAGCTCTTAAGTCCAGCAATATTACAAAATCTAAATACAAGATTACTCATCAATAAACAAGTCCGGATATTTCTCGCGGACTTCCAACTCACGTTCCCAAGTGGCTTCCTCCACTCCGTGATGTTTCCACAAAACCTTTACCAAAGGGATGGTCTTGCCACGCAGGACTTGATCCCGCCTATCCAAGACCCGAACCGGTCTCTCCTCATACGAGGCATCCTCATCTACCTCTAAGTCGGTCCAATCTAACACATGCGATGGATCCGGCTCATACTTCCGAAGTATACTCACATGAAACACGTCATGCACTCCGGACAACTGCGGCGGTAAGGCTAAACGATAAGTAACCTCGCCAATCCTCTCAAGGATCTCAAAAGGCCCAACAAACCGAGGGGATAACTTTCCACTCTTCCCAAACCTCATCAAACCTCGCATAGGTGATATCTTCAGAAAGACATGATCACCTATCTCAAACGCCAAACGTCTCCTCCTACGGTCGGCATAACTCTTTTGGCGACTCTGGGCTGTAACAAGCCTCCTACAGATAAGCTCAACTTTCTCCGTCGTCTCCCTAACTAACTCCGGACCCAACAAAGGTGCATCACCCACCTCGGCCCAACACACTGGAGACCTACACGATCGGCCATACAAGGCCTCAAACGGTGCCATACCGATACTAGACTGAAAACTGTTGTTGTAGGCAAACTCCACCAATGGCAAGTGCCTCTCCCACGTCCCACTGAAGTCTAGGACACACCCTCGAAGCATATCCTCAAGGATCTGAATAGTACGCTCGGACTGCCCGTCAGTCTGAGGATGATAAGCCGTACTAAAGGTCAACTTAGTGCCCAAGGCACTCTGCAAACCCTGCCACAATCTAGCAGTAAAACGAGGATCTCTATCTGAGATGATCATCACTGGGACCCCATGCAACCTCACTATGTCCCGAATATACAAGTCGGCAAGATGATCTACCGAATCTCTCACGCGCATAGGAATAAAATGCGCTGACTTAGTCAACCGGTCTACAACCACCCAAATAGCATCACTACCCCGCTGAGTCCTCGGAAGACCTACAACGAAGTCCATAGTGACATGCACCCACTTCCATTCGGCAATAGGCAAGGGTTGCAACAAACCCACTGGCCTCTGATGCTCGGCCTTCACTTGCTGGCAAGTAAGGCACTTCGATACGAAAACAGCCACATCTCTCTTCATACCCCGCCACCAAAACTGGCGACCCAAATCCCGATACATCTTAGTGCCTCCTGGATGCACCGCAAGGCGCGAATGATGAAACTCTCGGAGTACTTCCTCTCGGCAAGACCCTAGCACAAACAAACGGTCTCGGTATCTCACACTCTGGTCGGGATACACCGTCAAACCCTTCTCAACTTTCCTATCGGAGATCTTCTCTCGGAAGGATTCTACCTCTAGGTCACCTCTCTGTGCCTCTAACACTCTAGTCACAAGTGTAGGCTGCGCAACAACAGAAAACAAGGCCGCAGTCTCAACAGATTCGCCCAGAAGCAAATCAAACTCACCAAGTGCTCCCAACATCTCCCATTCCCGGATGGCTATACAAGCTACATCACTAATGGTCCGAATAGAGCAAATCGGCCGGGAGAAAAATAGTAAAGCAGATGAGTTGGTCGGTTTTGCATCAATGGCAGATACATCTATTCCACACCCATTGCTAATTGACTTCCTACAGGGGTTTGGAGTTGAAGAATGCAAAACAGCCCCCGAACCTTTGTTTTAACGTAACGAGAAGCTTCCCGGTGACAAATGTGTCATGTAAGGAGAGACAATACGTAAATAGGACACCTACGTTGGGAGTTAGAGTTGAAAATATCATTTATTTTAGTCGAAAAAAGGGGTTCGGGGGTGAAAATGCAAAACAGCCTCCAAACCACTGTTTTTACGTAACAGGAAGCTTTCCAGTGACAAATGCGACATGTAGGGACAGACGGTACGTAAGTAGGACATGTACGTTGGGATTTAGGGTTGAAAATGTCATAAACTTAGTCGAAAAAAGGG